GTGCAAAAAGTAATTGAGCACATAATGAAATTCCCCAAGTACAAGTCACATTACAGAAGAGCTAACACAGAAAGGGAATACCTAACAGAAGACACAACTTTAAATAAAATGTATGAGTTGTATCTTGAAGAAGAACACAATGATCATGTTAAATTTACATTTTACAAAAAAATATTTTTAACACGATTTAATCTTCAAAAAAAAAGTTAAAAAAAGATACCTGTAATAGATGTGATTGTTTAGAATTAGAAATTAAAAATTGCTCAGATAACGAACAATTATTATTAAGCAAGTTAGAGGCAGACAAAAATGTGCATTTAGAAGAAGCGGAAAATGCACAATCTAGAAGAAAGCTAGACATGAAGATGAGTAACGATAAACCAGAAGTGGAGACCTTTTGTTTTGATTTAGAAAAAACTCTTCCCCTTCCGAGAATCCCAACAAATATCGTATATTATAAGCGTCAATTATGTGTTTACAACCTTGGTATCCATAGCGGCAAGGATAACAAAGGTCATTGTTATGTTTGGCTAGAAGGGGAAGCTGGCCGGGGAGCCCAGGAAGTAGGCAGTTGTATTAAGAAACATATTGAAGAAAATGTTACTTCTGCAAAACATGTAATTTTGTGGTCAGACTCTTGTGGCGGCCAAAACCGCAACATCAAAATAGTTTTGATTCTAAAAACGATTTTAGAAACCCATCCCACCATTGAAAAAATTACATTACGCTATCTCTTTCCTGGTCATAGCTTTTTACCCAATGATAGTGATTTTGGAGATATTGAAAGTGCCCTAAAATTTCAACAACGTTTATATACCGTTGATGATTACCTAAACGTTATGAAGAAGTCTCGTAAAAAGAACCCATTAGTAGTTCACAGAATGAAAAAAGAAGATTTCGTTGGAACGAAGAAGTTGGAAAATATGATTACAAACCGTAAATCAGACACAGAAAACAGTAAGGTAAGCTGGCTTAAAACGAGGCAAATTGAAATAAGAAAGGATAAACCACTGAGTATTTTTATGAAAAGGGATTTTAATATTAGTGAAGTTGAAGTAGATCTGCACAAGAAACTTCAAAGAGGACGGCCCGTTGCAATGCAATCCCTAAGTAACCACTTGATTCCACTTTGGCCCACAGGCAAGCCACTTTCTGTCCCTAAGCTTAACGACTTAAGATCTTTAATGCATCTAATACCAAATGATGCAAAACCTCTGTACCGCTCCCTGTTCAGTAATAATACAGTTGAAGATGACATTGACGGATTTGATGGAGAGTTAGACTTTGAGGTGCAAGATGATTAATGTTTACTTAATAATATCACAATATTCGGAAAGTAGTATTGTTAACACTTAGTTCAAGTTTTTTTATAGTTAGTTTTTTTATATTTTTGATTAATTTCTTAAGTAATATAAAATGTTCAAAACAACGACTTTTATTGCCATATCCAAAAACAAAAACTATCTTGTGGGCTATTATTCACTCCCTAAAAGTGATATTTCAGTTACGCATCACTAGACCAAACGACCTCCATGTCGCTTGGTCTATTGATGCATAACGCAATGACACAATGTGCCGAAAATCGTAAGTCGACCAAACGCCTTTTTATTTTTTTTCCCTTTTTCTTTAGCATTAGCAGGTTACTATTTCGTATTTAGAGAAAACATAAAAAACTGTCTAAGAAAACAAAAAATTACGACAATTGAAACATACACTGAATTTTAATAGACTGAAAACTTTGAAGTTAAATATCTCAAAATTAATTTTTGGCGCTTGGTCTAGTGATGCATAACGCCGTCCAACTATAAAATTCATCCAATTTTTGGAAACTTACAGCCTTTCGAAACGAAGGTATTTTCGAAAGATCGACATAGGAAAGTAAAGGAGAAACTGTTTTAGCTCCACACTCCAAAATTTCGTCAGTCTCAGTGTAGTGGCTTTAGAAAGCAATATACTTCTACTTCTTTGAGTAAAATATTTTGTGTATTTCGAACAAAAAAGTTTTAACTAAACGTATTTAATTACTTTTTGATTGGAAATTGTAAGTAATATTATAAAACTATTGAATAAATAATTATTTTCAACTTGTATAATCGGTGAAAAATATTATTTATTATAGATTATTTCATAATAAACAGCAGACTGTGGCATTAACTTATTCAAGCAGTAGTAGTAGTTTCAAAGTAAGTATTTTCCTTTTTTAATTTTTGTTTTATTAATTGCTAAATTATTGTTATGCAAGTTAAACCTTTGTTTTGAAATATTTTTATTGCTTTTACTTTATTGTTTATAATCATAATTAAATTTCAACTTAATAAAATAAAAGTCTTTACAAATTTTTGAAATACGATTATGCTGGTTATAACTTTATATATTTTTAAAAGATTCGTTCTATATAAGCTTGCAATATTCTGATTTTTCATTAATAATAAAATTTTTTTTTTATTTATTTTAGACATCTGAAACGTATTTCCATTCAAAAGGAGCAGATCATTTTTTACTCTTTTTGTACTCTTTACGAGGTAATTTTTTAAAATTTTTGATTACATTGTACATTAAATCGAAAGAAATTATCTTTTGTAATATTTTATTTATAATCAGGGGAAATTTAAATTAATCAACGCAAACGAAGATAGTCTTAGTTTCATGGATATTTTTTACGATTCCAATGCAACTAAAGAAAATATAATGAGAATTAGTTGTGAGTTGATATAAATTATAAAAAAAAACACAACAATACACTTTCTTTAAATGATTTAAGATACTTACAATTCAACAGAAACTATCGGTAAATCATCTTTTAAACTAGAAACTCTGTCACCAACTGAAGGTGCAGCCAAACAGCATGTTCTTCGGGTTTACTATCAATTACAAATGTGGTTAGGTAATAAGTTAGATGCTTGTGCCTATGGTTGAAGACAAAGTGCCACTGGTTTTGAACCAATTTATACTCTAGATAATTTAATTCCCGAAGAGACATTAAAGCACATACATGCAATGCACACAGGTTGCAAAACTACTAGATGTGGGTGCAGAAAACGTGGTTTGAATTGTACGAACTTGTGCGTAAATTGTACTGAGAAGTAGCAGGAGAAAATCATGCTGCAACTCGATACAGGTTACGTTTGACGACGACAGTGATTCTGAAGATGTATATTTATAGACTGACTTAATAAATAAAGACAAATAACCTGCAACAAAAAGGTTCAGAGCTGACAGTGAAGGTGAATGAATGAACCAAATTTTAACTTTTAAACAATGTGTGTAAAGAAAATAAATAAAGTAAAGTTCATTAAACATTACAAAATTTATAAGACACGTTTCGAAAAATCGACTTATTTTTTCAAAGCAGTAATGCAGATTAGATTAATATTGTATATCATATTTGTACGAAAAATAGAATAAAATCATATTTTAATTATAAAAATACAAAAATTATAATTAATATAAGGAATATAATATAATGTGTAAAAAATTACCTAAATTTAATTTATAAAATATATAAGTATTATTACATCATCGATATACAATGAAAAAAATGTTGATTTTCCGGGATTTTCCGAGATTTACGGGGGTGAAAATTATGTCATCATTATTAATACTGCGACAGACTATTCCAGCCAAATTAGAAAAAAATAGTAAGTTTTTACGGTGTATTTCAAATGGACTCAATTTTTCCGAGGGTTCTCATATTTTCCGGCCAGTGAAAACTATATATTTATTCATATTTCGACGAGCTACCTCAGAATAAAAAAAGAGGCTTTCAGCTGTAATGAAAGCCGTGAAAATTTAAATTTTTCCTACGTGTTTCAATTTGCAGTTCCGATGTCGAAAAAAAAACGGAGCTGAAACAGTTATCCCCTCCACTTTCCTATGTCGATCTTTCGAAATTACCTTCGTTTCGAAGGGCTGTAAGTTTCAAAAAATTGGATGAATTTTATAGCTATAAGTTTCAATATAAAGTCATTTAAAATTTGTGGAAATTTTAGAAGATATCGACTGGTCATGTATTGGTCAAAATGTATTTACACTGTTACCAAAATTCATTAATCTATTAAATAAATGTTTTTATAGCATTAAGTGATACTTTTAATAATGATCTTACAAGGGTAAAACAGATTTAAGACAGAAATGGTCATAAGTGACTTTTGAATGAGTTGCTATAGTTTTCGATGGAGATATTTTTAAAGTAATAAATACCAGAATTATTTGTTTGTTAACTTTATAAAATGCTACATTTTGAAGAAGCTACTGATATAATTTGCAGTTTTATATTTTAATTCAATTTTCCTTATCCGACTCTTCTTCGCTCTCAACTGAATTAACTTCGAGCTCGACTTTAGGAGGTACATAACTCTTTGAATTAAGATTTTTTATAAAATCCATGGTACATTGTGGGTATTTTGCCGGTATTACACAGCCACAGTAATCCTTTTAGCTTTTTTTCTTCAATTGGTAATGGTGCATCATACAGTTTCGGTGGAAATTTGATAGTAGTGGAAGGCCGTCTTCTGCATTTTCGATTTAATTTTATGTCACAACCACTAAAACCATCATCGAATTCGTATTTAAACATTATAGAATTTTGGTGTTCATGCGAAAATTTTATTTCTCGTATTTTGCTAACTTTTATTGATTTCTTTTCGTTGTCAAGTTTCCAGTTCTCGGTATCAGTAAGTTTTTTTAAATTAAAAAATAAGCTTGGGACATTTCCGTAACATCATAAACTCTTCCTGTAGTTTTAGCCATTGTAATTAATGTAACTTACTGTTCTGGCACATATACAACCGATTACCTTTTCTTTGCATTTTCGATAACAGCATGCATACTGTCACCCTCGTTCTGAGTGTGGCTTTTCTCCAGAAATCTGTGAACAATATCAATATGAAAATGAGCAGCAGCAAAAGCAAACATCGAAAACACAAAACGATTCCTATTTAGTCCCCCACAGTTGTCCAAGTAGAATATTATCGTTTTAACACTTTGCTGTGCCTTGAGATCTAAAAATTTCCAGAGGCAACTGGCAATTTGATTTATTACCTCTTTTAGCCACCTGCTCGTGCCATACATAGCAGTAACCCTGATTATTTCCAACATCATAAACTGTAAAGTTATATGTAGAGTATTTGCTTTTGTAGTAAAAATCACTTACATTAGACAAAGGTGTAGCTAAACCTTTTGAAGGTCAAAGCAAGCCACACACAAGCTCTTATCATCTAGTGAAAGCTGTTTGTCTATGTCTTTTAAGTTTCTGATAACTTCTTTGTTTTTCATATGGGAGTCATATTGTTCGAGCAATTTTGCTTTTTCAGCATCACTAGCCATTAATTACTGTTAAACTGGGAATAAGCCACAATTAAAGATAAAAATACGCTTATTGACGTTTCAATTTCCACTTCGGAAATCGTTCTCAAAATACAAACAGTAAATTAAACAAATTTTGTTTTTTGTTACATAGTGAAAAATTCTTCTAATAATTTAATTTTATCTGACTCATTTATATTGACAATTCAGACATACATTATGCATTTTAAAGTAGACGACTTTAAAATGATATTGCCAATATTGTTGAGTTGCGCTCCTGGGACGACTTTACTTATAAGATAGTTCATTCGATTACATGAAATCAACTTTAACTTGAGAATATCCGTCAGAAAAAATCATAGCATGTAATTCGTCTTTAAAAAGACAAACACATGACATGATAACAGTAAAATTCTCCTGTTAGCGATTCCATAGTAAATTATGAGGGAAAACCAGGAAAAAACCTCATAATACTATCCCGACATTGTAAGTATTTGTTCGTGAATTTAGTTTACCTTCAACAAACATCAAAATTCTGATTTTATATATGTAACGTTATTTAAAAAACATAAATGATGTATCCTCTATATGTTACTGACATACTAATACTGGTATTTTCTTATTAATAACTTCCTCTTTCAATATTGGTAACCAGATCCTACTACATTCTGCCGAGGAATTTGCGACACAATTGGCCTCATTTAGCATAATTGGAGCCGCTTCTTTGATTTTTCTTTTTTTACCATCCGTTTCTTTTAGGACTACATTTGAATTATTCCATTGAACCCTATGTTCATTATTCTATCCCATAGATAAATGTTAGAATAAGTGAACATCAATCTTATATTAAAAATAAAGAATTTGATAGATCTCAAATCTGTAAACACGCATGGGATAATGAACATAGGGTTCAATGGAAAATTCAAATGTAGTCCTAAAAGAAACGGATGGTAAAAAAAGAAAAATCAAGAAGCGGCTCTAATTATGCTAAATGAGGCCAATTGTGTCGCAAATTCCTCGGCAGAATGTAGTAGGATCTGGTTACCAATATTGAAAAGGAAGTTATTAATAAGAAAATACCAGTATTAGTAAGTCAGTAACATATAGAGGATACATCATTTATGTTTTTTAAATAACGTTACATATATAAATCAGAATTTTGATGTTTGTTGAAGGTAAACTAAATTCACGAACAAATACTTACAATGTCGGGATAGTATTATGAGGTTTTTTCCTGGTTTTTCCTCATAATTTACTATGGAATCACTAACAGGAGAATTTTACTGTTATCATGTCATGTGTTTGTCTTTTTAAAGACGAATTACATGCTATGATTTTTTCTGACGGATATTCTCAAGTTAAGTTGATTTCATGTAATCGAATAAACTATCTTATAAGTAAAGTCGTCTCAGGAGCGCAACTCAACAATATTGGCAATATCATTTTAAAGTCGTCTACTTTAAAATGCATAATGTATGTCTGAATTGTCAATATAAATGAGTCAGATAAAATTAAATTATTAGAAGAATTTTTCACTATGTAACAAAAAACAAAATTTGTTTAATTTACTGTTTGTATTTTGAGAACGATTTCCGAAGTGGAAATTGAAACGTCAATAAACGTATTTTTATCTTTAATTGTGGCTTATTCCCAGTTTAATAGTAATTAATTTACAATGCCACAAGAAAATAGCTTCAGAACAATATCACTAGCCATATTAAAAACAGAACAAACAGTACACTGGTCCTTTTTTGGTTTAAAGAACCCAATATTGAACTGTTCATTGAAAATATCTCTATACTGGCGTGACGTGGCAGCTGTAGTGATGTTATTTTTTTCGCAATGCTCGTTGTACAATCGGTACATATTTTGGATAGTTAGCCCTTCTTCAAGGTACATCTTCATCGTATTCTTACGGGTATAATGAGAAGGTACTACAGGAAACTGATTTATGTGATTTTTTACGTTGTCTATGAGTTCCGGTGATAGTTTATGTGGTCTGTTAGTGTGCTTTCCACGTTTATCTTCCTCTAATAATCCACCATCTTTCAGTTTCCTTAATGCTGTAGTGATCCAAGTTTCTAAAACGTTAAGGGTTTCCAAAAACATAGTTTTGCAAATACGTTGTTTTTCATTGCGAATGTAGAAGTAATATTCTCGAGAGTAATTTCTTCGAGACCGTTGTTCTGCAGTAATAGTTACTTGTTTTTTGGCAACCTGTCTCACATGATGAGCAATAAAATCCCACTTTCTCTTATGATCTTTTAACTTCCAAAATTCATTGAAAAAAAGGTCTCTATATTCTTTAGCTATTTTGGTAGCACATTTTAGTCTACATGTGTTTGCGCATAGTGCACCCATCTGTCTTCCTTTAATTTGAATACCTTTTCGATTTTCATGTTCAAGTCCCAGGTTTAGACTTGTTTTAGATTTTTCATCCGCCCACTTACTAACGTCTCTAATTATTTTCCTACTTACTCTCTCTATATTGCGTCTGCTTCTTCTCTTTCTATTTGTGGTTGCTTCAGTTATATTCTTATTAGGTTCAATTATTACTTCAGTGATGTTTTTGTCTTCTGTCGGAATGTAATCTGGGTCAGTATCAGAGTCTGCATGAAATGGTTCCTCATCGCTTTCCTTCTCAATTATTTCATTTTCATTCCTATTGGCTTCATTCTCTTCTAAGATTACTAAAATTAAACAAAAATGAGGTAAATGCTTACGTAATATTTTTTCATGCGGAATTTAAACCAACCTGTAGAACATTCAGGATTAATATCAGTCTCGTGGTCACCAGGATCCTCATTCGCCTTTTTGTATTTGCTTTCTTCTACAATACTTTCAGCAATATGTTTACCTTAAAAAATAAGTAGGTTTTTACTTTGCTGTTATTATTTTAAATAAAGTTTATTATAAATTTACCTTCAAAAGAACGATCAGAAATATCCGTTTCAGTGTTTTTATACGCTTTCTCAGCTAATTCCAATATTAACTCACTTCTGGAACACATTATGGCAATTATAACAAAACTAAACTTTTGAACATAACCTTAAACTAACGCAGAATACCGTAGTAACTCATGTTACGATACCTATGCTATCGCTTCAGATAACAACGAAGACTGTTGTAACTCAAGATACGATGATTTTCTACGTTTGTTTTTATAAATCGGAGATACTATAAAACTCTTACACGTAATATTGGTTGCATAACTACGTTTACTGAGATACGATTCTTTCCTGGGGAAGATATCATTGTTTTATTGTTTTGCGCTCGTAACTCAACAAGTGGAAAATTTGAGTAACTATAGTCTTCGTTGGACCAGTCGATATGATTTTTTTAAAAATCTTCGCTAACTTCGTTCGTATTGGTCCGTATTGGTTTGTACAAGTCTGTAGCTTGAAAAATATAGAAGTTATTACAATTGTTTATAAGTAAAAAACATACCCCTTTTTCAAACGTTTATTTTGTAAATACTTTCGATGAAAACGCAATATCCATTTAACTTTTGAGATAGTTTAAGTCTTAAAGAATCCTAAGAAATTTGCTAAATGTGTCTGGCATCATTTATAGGGCAATAGTTTAAATAATTAGCCTCAGGGATAAACAAATTAAATAATTTTTAAGCTATTTGACCGATCAGGGAGAAATTTTGCACAAATTTAAAGACGGTAATTCCTCGATGTATAAATGAATTAATAACACTTTATTTTGTTAATTAAAAAATTAATCATCATCATCAACATCATCATCAATGTTGCTACAGCCCTATGAAAGAGCCGCGACCTTCCCAAGTCTATTACGCCAGGAAGTCCTATCCATTGCCAACCGTTGCCAGTTTTGCTGCGCCTATCTTTCTACCATCCTCATCTACACCATCCTTCCATCTGAATTTTGGCCTACCCCTTTTTCTGCTTCCCACGGGTTGTGACATAAGGATTCATCTAGGAGGGTTGTTCTGCTGTGATCTTGCTAGATGTCCTGCCCATCTTAATCTTCCTATTCTTATAAGAGATACTACGTCTTTACCACCAAAATATTTGTTTATATCTGTGGTATACCTCGTAGTTGTATCTCCTCCTCCAAACACCATTTTCACAGATGCCACCAAATATTCCTCCAGGATCCTTCGTTCAAATATAAGCAAAAGGTCTTCGTCTGCCTTGGAGATGGTCCATGTCTCCGATCCATATGTCAACACTGGCTGTATAAGGGTTTTGTATATAGTTATTTTTGTTTTTTGGCTTAAGTTTCTACTTCTCATATGTCTACTCAGTCCAAAATAGCATCTGTTTGCCATTACTATCTTTCGCTTGATTTCTTCCGTTATGGCGTTCTCTTTGGTGATCAGGGAGCCTAAGTATGTGAATTTGTCAACCACTTCAAAGGTAGAGTTATCAACCGTGAATTGGGGACCGATGTTCCTGGCTCTATTGTTGGGTGTTGATGCCATCATCTTAGTTTTCTCCTCATTTACTTGCAGGCCCATAGATTTTGAGGCATTTGAGAAGGTGGTATACATTTCTTCTAGCTTGCGTGTTGTGCGGGCAACTAGGTCCACATCATCTGCATATGCCAAAATTTGGGATGATTATTAAAAATATTTCCTCTGTTGTCTATTCGGGCATCTCTGATCGCCTTTTCCAGTGCTATGTTGAAAAGGAGACACGCCAGCGCGTCTCCCTGTCGCAGCCCAACATGCGTTCCAAACGCCTGTGATTGTTCGCCCTGTATTTCGACTTTGCAACCACATTACGCATTGTAGCCTTAATCAATCTTATCAGTTTATCGGGGATGTGGAATTCATTCATTGCTTCATACAATTTATTTCTTAGGACACTATCATAGGCAGATTTGAAGTCTACAAAAAGATAGTATGTATCGATATTGAATTCATTGGTTTTTTCCAGTATTTGCCTTAGCACAAAGATCTGATCTGTTGTTGATCGACCAGGCCTAAAGCCACTTTGATATTCCCCGAGAAGTTCCTCTAAATATGTACTTAGGCGACCATATATGAACCTCGAAAATATTTTGTATGCTGTATTAAGGAGGGTTATTCCCCTATAGTTTCTACATTCCAAGTGGTCACCCTTTTTGTGTAGCGGGCAAACGATTCCAATACACCACTCTTCCGGGATTTGTTCCTCATTCCAGGCTCTCAGTATTATTTTATATATTTGATTAGTCACAGAAGCACCTCCACATTTGATAAGTTTCGCGGGTATACCATCACTTCCTGGAGATCTATTGTTTCTTAGTTGTTTTATTGCATCTCGTACTTCTTGAATTGACGGAGGTTCTAATGGTGAATTGTTGCTTGCTCCTCCGGGTGGTTGATTTGGATCTAGATCTTTTACTTCTATAGTAAGTAGTTCTTTAAAGTGTTCCACCCACCTTTTCAGTACTTCTTCTTTTGCATTTAGTATATGCCCCTCCTTATCCTTACATAGTCTTGGTTTGAATTCCCTTCTTGCGTTATTCAGAGTTTTGTAGAATTTTCTTGTTTGGTTTTCCTTTTTTAATACCTCAAGTTCTTTCAATATTCTATTTTCGTGAGTTCGCTTTTTCCTTCTATGAATGCACTTCTCTTCTTTTCTGAGATCTTTATATTTTTGCTGTTTTTCTCGGGTTCTTCTTTGCTGCATCAGTTTATATGCATCGTTCTTTCTTCTTGTAATGTCCTCACACTCAGCATCAAACCAGTCATTACGTGGTGGTGGTCTTTCTGGCCCTAGAATATTATTTGCTGCCTCTTTAATATTATTTTTACACATTTTCCATTATTCACTAATTGTTAGGTCCTCATAAATTATGTGTTTTAGTTTCGATACAGTTTTGAAACCTTTCTACTCTTGGCGGATTTTTGAGCATTTCAATATTGAGACGCGTTGTTTTGGTACTTCTCTCCTTCTTCGCATTTGAGATTCTAGCTCGAATTCGTGTGCCAACTAGAAAGTGATCTGAATCAATATTCCGAATTATTAAAAAAATTAATAAAATTCATAAATTAGTACAAAAAAACTGCTTTTTTGCAAATATCTCCGTAAATTATTTATCAATTTTATTTGAAAAGAGGGAAAAATAAAAAATATTCTTGATATAAAAAAAATGATATAAATATTGTTTATTTAAAATATAAGGGAAAAAATAGATAAAAAATCAAATTATAACCATAAATTATTGTTTAAAAAAAACGCAAGGAAAAAATAGGAGTATCTTTTCATCTATTTGTCATCTAGTAACCCCCACCTATGTCTTACAAGCTTCAAATATCTGCGAAACATTTTTTCTCTTTTGTTTTAACCAGACTGGGCTATATTGTGACGTTACTTGCGCAGAAGGTGTTTGCTTCAAGGATTCGCTACAAGGCGTGTCTATAAGTTTTAATGGTCTAAGGATGGACCAAAGACTACAAGCTGTTATCAATGCTGATGGAGATATTAGAAAATATTAATTTTATTTTTACATACCTAAATTTAGTATAGTTTTGGTCTTGCAGACCTTTACTTTTTTCTAGGCTTTCTTGTTCTCTTTATTTTTTATTAATAGAAAAAATTTGGTTCTATGTTTTGCTGCCTCTAATAGTACTCAGTTACCTTTTAATTTGTTTACAATCCTCGCTTTAATATTAAGTCGTTTGTTTTATTCCTTAATAATAATAAAAATAATAAACAACTACTTCATGTGAAAACTAACATTTATATACTCTTTATAAAATGCAGGAATTCAAAATAATTTCAAAATTTTTACCTTAATATTATTACAATTAATGAGTTACCATTCAATTTCTTGTTGTTTGTTTGTTTATTTTATTATGTGTCTATCATAATATTTGAAGATATAATGATAGACACATCATAATATTTGCAGATATTGTGAAGACCATCAAAATAAACCGCCTAAGGTGGGTGGGCCACGTTATGCGGATGGATGAGAGTAATCCCACTAAAATAACTATGCTAAACAGGCCGGTCAGAATAAGAAGAAGAGGGCGACTTAAACTCAGATATCTGGACGATTTACAGGAAGATCTGAGGGAGATTGGAGTGAGGGGCTGGAGAAGGCCGACACTCGATAGGGAAGGATGGAAGAATATTTTGAAGCAGGCCAAGACTCACGAAGGGCTGTAGCGTCAACTGATGATGTCTATCATAATAAATATAATGTGTCAGACCAATCAAATAAACTACTCAAAATAATCATATCTTACTAAAAGTCGTATCAGTTTTTTTAGGAATCAGCTATACAATACAATAAAACGAAATGAAAAGTAATGTACTCAGATCAACTATCTGCAAACCTTTAGCAGTAAATATTTAATAATAGAACTAAAATATAGGGTAAGTCCGGGAAAGACAGGCAACTTTTTTTTTCACACAGATTACTTGAAAAATTGACTAGGGTATGATACGATTTTTGGAAAAAAATACTTATTATAGTTTATATATTTATTGTGCAAAATAAAAAACATGTCACTTAAGAAATATAAAAGTTATAGAAATTAACATAAATACTTCTTATTGGCTCATCTATACCAATACGTAGGTACAGATGGGCCATTGCTATTGGTTGAGTTGGGCTAATTTGAAACACATAAAATAATAATGCTAACCTATTTCTTTTTACTAGCAATTTTTCAACAC